AGCCTGGCTCCAGCCCTCAGAGCACCTTTGTGGCCTCCTCTGGACTTGCTCCAACAGGTCCATGTCCTTCCTGTGCCGGAGACCCCAGAGCTGGATGCAGCATTCCAACAAAGTCCAAAGCACAAGGAGCAAGCCACCTGCAAGACAAGCCCTGCAGCCTCATCCTGCCTTGGGTTTACAACAGAAATGAGCTGGGACAAGGACTCTGAATTTCTCTCTCATAGCCTTAAGCTGTTGCAAAGGGTTCATTCCAGTTTAAAGGCAAAGAATTTCCCCAGCAACTCTCACGAGGGCTTGTAGTGTTTATAAGCACTGCAAAACCTCAAACACAAACCTGGGCAAATCAATGACACTGCACTTTGTTGGTGTTTTATTCATAACCCTTTCAGGGGTCCATTAAGGAAAGGAGACTTCACAGGGAGAAGAACACTAATATTCATAATTGATCTTGCCAGGAGTAGAGCTGAAATCCTTGAAAGATAACACAGCAAAGTCCATTTGATGGTGAAAAGAGCCCCTGGGGTGAATCCCAGACACATTTGCAGACTAAAACTCCAAAAAGTAAGAGCTTAAAGTGCTACAAACAAAACACTTTGCATGGGACAACTCCTGTGCCAGTCCTCAGGTGACTTCCCACCCTCTCCCAAGCGATGGAAAAGAGATAGCAGAGGAGCTGCCAAAGGGAACAGTGGAGGTTAAACCAGTTGCCCAAACCCTTATCCAAGCTGTGATTCACAAAAAACCCAAGGCCTTAGATGTCATCACTGCCTGCCATTATCAGTCACTCTCTTTCAGGGCAGAGGGTTTGCTTTGTATCCATGTCAGCCCTCCTGCCCATCCCACCTCAATAAAATACAGATGTCACCATGCCACAGGGCAGCACCTCCCAGACACCTTTTGGTCAGAAGGACTGCTCTAATTCTAAACCTAGCTGGGCTTTTCTTCATTCACTTATCTCTTTTCCTCAGGTACAAACCCCTAAAGGTGCTCAGTCCTCTCCCAGTGCTCCCAGCAAGCCCCCAGAACTGGAGCTGGCTGCCACCCCTACACTGCCTGTAAAAGAATCCTGGAGAGAAATCCGCATTTCCATCACAAAACTTCCATCCACAGACTTTCTGAATCTGCTCAGTGCACATTTAGGTCATCTGTCTTAAGCTGCTCCTCTGCCAGACACCATTTGTCCCCCCTGCCCTGTTTCTGTCAGCTATTCTTTTATTCCCTCGACCATACAGAGCATCCCCCAAACCCATATATCCCACAGAATTCCATATACCCCACAGAGCTCCTCCCGAGCACATTTAGAAACAGCAGGATTTTTTTTTCTTCCATGTGTTTAAAACAGCCTTAAGTTGACAACAACAATAAGCTGCGTTCACTTCCTTCCTTCCTCTGCTCCCAGTGATTTTAAGCCTCATTTTTTTTTTTTGTTTGTTTTTAAGTCAATAGTGGCAAAATTCCTAAAAAACCCTGGGTGAGCACCAGGGTGTTTCCAGTACAGACCCCAACCCGTGTGGAGCAACTAAGTGCTACTGCTCTTCAAACCTCAGCAGTTTTTTCCCTATTTTTCAGGGATGACTTTGTCAAGAACTTGGCACGGCTCAATTAACGAAGTGGCTTAATCCAGCGGGTGATGAATAACAGGGGAGCCAACAGGTCATTGCAATTCACTTGAGTAACCAGAATCCCTATCTGCTGCTTGGGCTTTTTCCAATCCCTGCCTGCATTAGAGACAGATTTTAATTGCCTATTCCCAAACAATCCGACCGCAGCCGCTCTGCGCAGGCAAAGACTGAGTCCATAGGATTTATGGATACCTGCAGCCTTGCAATTAAGGAGGAGAGACTTTGCTGTGTTCCTGTTTCGTCCCAACTCTCCTCAAGGTAAAGAGGTATTTACTGCAATCCTACAAGCATACCGATGTAAATCTAGATTTTTTTTTCCTTTTTTCCAAGTTCTCCTTGCTGCTGGCAGGAGGGGAGGCATTTTTCCCCCTGCTCACTAATGGCTGAAGAGCTTCTACCAGCATACTACAAGGGGAGACTGGCTGCAAATTCCCAGCAATGTCCAAAACTTCAGTGAAACTCCAGGCAGGCCACAGGAATCTCCTTTCCCTGCCCTCTGGCAGCACAAAACCTTCAGGATTTGTCCTAAGAGGTGGAGCAGGCAAACCCCTGCCCAAGGCACAGACTCCCTTCCCTCCTCCCCCTTGCAACGTTTAAGTTCATAGGAGATCTCACAGGGAAACCCAGAACTGCAAGGCAGCTTTATTTTTAGGAAATTTCCTTAAAACTCACAGAAAAAATCTGCTTGGCAAGACATAATTTTTTTAACGCTGGGAATTGTTAAAATAAGGAAGGGACAGAGGAATGGCGGGGAGGAACAGGTTAAAAATGCAGGGGAAGGGTTTCAACGTGGAAAAATTGCAAAGTTAATTTATCTGGAGAAGAGGCAGTGCAGAGGCTGGATGAAGGAAGGCATTGAGGAGCACGGGAGGACGAGGAGCGAGTCCTGTCCCACCCCGCTCCGCTAAAACCCGACCCCGATAAACTGGCAGGAGCTCAAAGAAGAGCCATAAAAATAATGAGAGGGCTGGAAGAGCTGACACGCAGGAAGATTAAAAGGAACTAAATACGTATAGCTTGGCTGGGCGACAAAAGCCAAGGGGAACGGGAAGGCAACAGCTGGAATATCCACAGGTCTTGACCATCCCGGGGAGGGGAGCGTTGGGGCTGAGCCCCCCGGGGAGCACCATCCCCTCTCCCCCGGCGCTGCGGCTGCTGCATTCCTTCCCTCTAATACAATCCCTAATTTAACAAGTGGAGAGGATCCGGGCAAACATTTGGGGGGGGGATGCATTACGTCAGGAGCTAATTTAGGTCCCTGCTGGGCTCCGGCCCCGTGTACATGCCTGGCTTTCCCTCTGCTTCGGCGTCTCCCGACACCCCCACACGGCTCCACACCAACGGGAGCATCACTTGTTCATTCATGGGTGGATTTTTTATCATTTCTAGAAAGCTCGTTTGTTTTGGTTTTGTTTCCCCCCCCCCCCCCCCCGAGCGCTCAACTCCAGCAACACTTTCTGCAGCTCCAGGACTGAAGTAAAAAAAAAAACACTAAAATAAAATCAACTTTTCGGAGAGTTCAGACCAACTCCAGCACGAGACTCTTTGATGCAAGCGCTCGCTTCCTCTCGAAAGGAGCGTATTTATATCCATCTCTTCCTTCCTGCAACTTCAGATAATTAATAAATCAAAACCCAAGCACGAGGTGGGGGGGGGGGGGGGGGGGCGGGGAGGTGGGGGAAGAAGCCACAGGAGCAGCGGAGCGGGACCTGCCGGCGCAGCTGACAGCTCCGCTACTCCCACGGCCGCAGGCACGCGCGGGACCTCGCAATTAATATTTTATTTGAGCAATTACAGCCATCAGCCCAGGCCGCACCGCTGAGTAAACACGCCCGAGCCATAAAGCGCCGATAAAGAGACAAGGGGCGGGGGGGAGTAAGGGGGGGGGAAGGCTTCGGAGCTCCCCGCTTTTCTTTTCGCCCGAAGCTCCTCCGCCGCATCCCGGCGGGTCCGGCCGCACGTTCCCACGCGCCCCGGACAAACGGGTTCTTTGTCCAGGTGTGCGCCCAAAGCCACCGGACACCGCGGTGTCCCCAAGCCCCCCCTCGCCCACAGTCGCCCCTGCTGATCGCCCCATGGCCACAGCGGGCCCTCGGAAGCGCTTTCCTCGCACGGAACTTCGGGGTTAAGTTTTGCCGTAAGCTGGAGAGTATCCACACCCCACACCCCCCGCCACCCCCATCCCAAAAGTGAAGCTGTTTCCCAGCTCTGTGCAAAATCCTGGGTGTGAAGCAGCTGGTGGATGGGGCTGAGGCCCCGGGGTGTTAAAGTTTGGCTGGTTGTGGCCCGAGGCGGTGAGGAGGAACAGGGGGGAAGGGGGGGAGCCTGGAAGGGATGCAGGGGGAGAGGGGCTGCTGGGGGCTGGAATGGGGGGCTAGAGCAGGGTGCGGGGACTTGGGGTGGGCTGGGTGCTGAGAGCTAATGCACACTACTGGGAGAGGGTGCTGGGAGCTGGGGTAGGGTGCTGGGAGCCAAAACACAGTACTGGGAGAGGGTGCTGGGAGCTGGAGCACAGAGCTGGGTGCTTAGGCCCTGTACTGGGACAGGGAGCTGGGAGTTAAAACACAAAGCTGGGGCAGCGTGCTGGGAGCTGAAGCTGGATACCGGGAGCCAAAGCAAGGTGCTGGAGCAGAGTGCTGGAGCACTGTACTGGGACAGGGTGCTGGGAGCTAAAGCAGGGCACTGGGTGCTCAGGCACTGTACTGGGGCAGGGTGCTGGGAGTTTAAGCACACTACTGAGAGAGGGTGATGGGAATTAAAGCAGCGTATTGGAGCAGGGTGCTGGGAGCTGGAGCACTGCACAGGGCAGCGTGTTGGGAGCTGGAGCTGGGTGTTAGAAGCTGGAGCTGGGTTTTAGGAGCTGGAGCTGGGTTTTAGGAGCTGGAGCTGGGTGTTGGGAGCTGGAGCAGGGTTGTTGGGAGCTGGAGCTGGGTGTTGGGAGCTGGAGCTGGGTGTTGGGAGCTGGAGTTGGGTGTTGGGAGCTGGAGCAGGGTTGTTGGGAGCTGGAGCTGGGTGTTGGGAGCTGGAGTTGGGTGTTGGGAGCTGGAGCAGGGTTGTTGGGAGCTGGAGCAGGGTTGTTGGGAGCTGGACCACTGCACAGGGCAGGGTGCTGGGAGCTGGAGCACTGCACAAGGCAGCGTGTTGGGAGCTGGAGCTGGGTGTTGGGAGCTGGAGCAGGGTGCTGGGAGCTGGAGCAGGGTGCTGGGAGCTGGAGCACTGCACTGGACAGGGTGCTGGGAGCTGGAGCAGGGTGCTGGGAGTTAAAGCACTGCGCTGAATCAGGGTGCTTGGGAGTGCTGGGAACTGGAGCACTGCACTGGGAGCCGGGAAGATGCCGGGCAGGGCGCCGCGCAGGGCGGGGGGTCCCGGGGCACTCACCGAGCTTCTCGACGAGGCGCAGCATGACGCCGCCGATGTGGATCTCGCCGGTGACCCGCAGGGTGACGTCGCGGCCCAGGTCGGTGACATGGACGCTGAGCTCCCACGTCCCGTCGGCGTAGCAGCCGTCCGGCATGCGGATCCCGTCCAGCGCCATGGCCCCGGCCTCCTGCGCCGCCGGCCGCGCCCGGCACGGAGCGGGAGCGGGATTCAGGGATCGGCGATCGGGATCGGCCCGGCAATGCCCGCTCCGCGCCCCGGGGCAGGGCTGGGGGCGCGGTGGGGCGGGATCGGGACGGGGGTGCCGCTCTCCCGCCGCCCCCACCGCTGCCTGCGGGGCCGCCGCGGGAGGAGCAGGGCGGGCGGAGCGGCGGGAGGAGGAGGGAGCGAGGGGAGGGAGGAGGAGGAGGAGGGGGATAATAATTAAAGGAAAAACGCGTCCCGCGCTGCCGGGCCCCTTGGCCTTTTATGGAAGCGAAGGACGGAGCAAGCGGGGGCCGCTCCAACATCCGGGAATCGCCGGGGGGCGGCCCGGCTGGGGTCATCCCGGCCCGGCTCTGCCCGGCCCGGCTGGGCTCGGCTCTGCTCGGCTCAGCTCATCCCGGCCCGGCCCGGCTCGGCTTTACTCGGCCCGGCTTACCCAGCGCGGCTCTGCCCGACCCGACTCTGCCCGACTCGGCTTATCCCGACCCGGTTCAGCCCGGCTCGGCACAGCCCGGCTCGGCACAGCCTAGCTTGGCTTGCCTTGGCTCAGCCCGGCTGGGCTCGTCCCGGCACGACTCATCCCAGCTCGGTTCTGCCGGGTTCATCCTGGCCCGGCAAGCACGGCTCTGTCCAGCCTAGCTCGGCTCAGCTCATCCCAGCTGGGCTCATCCTGGCTTAACTTGTCCTGGCTCAGCTCAGGGCCAGTGATCCCAGAGCAGGCAGAGTGGGGAACTCGGGAGTCAGCCAGGAGAGCATCCATTAGGGCTGCTGGAACCTTGGTGTCCCAAACACACATGGCAGCCGTGCCCACTCTGCACCCTTCAGGGTGTTTTTTAACACTGGCCCCAAATTCATAGGCAAAATCCTTCCCGTTCAGCAAAGCCCTACCTTGGCATAGTAGTCCATGTCCGCGCCCAGGCCGGGCGATGGGTTGGCTCCCTCCATCCTCATCATCTGTGAATCTGGGAAATGGGAACTGTCTTTAAATAAAAGAGTCTGAAGCGGCACAAATGGAGGAAAAAAAAAAAAAATATTATCCGCTTCCTGTAGCTCTCCACCCAGTGATACACACATCCCGCCAGGCAACCGGGCTTCCTGAAAAACCGACGCGCGGAAGGGGCTGCGGTTTGAGGTGGATGTGTCCCGCACTCTGCCGGGCGATGGGAATTCACATCCCGGCAAAGCCGTACCTTCCCCGGCAGCCTCGGGGATGGCTCTGCCAGCCCAAAGCTCCACGAGCACCATTCCCGCATCCCATGTATTGAATGGCAGTGGGAGCTTTAGGACCGCAGTATCGTGGAATGGTTTCGGTTGGAAGGGACCTGGAAGACCATCCAATTCCAAGCCCCTGCCATGGGCAGGAACACCTTTCACCAGACCAGGTTGCTTTGGTGCCATGGAGGCAACAAACCCCCTCAATGGATAAAGTTTTCCCACTTTTCACTTTGCTGTTATAGTGGAGATATTTATGAAGGGATGTTTCTCTCCTTTATCATATACACTAATAAAACCTTTCCTGAGCTTGCTCCGGGCAGACTAAAACAGGTTTTATGCAAGGATTTGGGTTAACGAGGCTGATGCTGCCAGAAGGAGATTGGGTGACTGCTGCCCTGAACAGCGGGAGGATGGACCTCCCCCCTCAGATCCTCCTGGGGCCTCAATCCCTGTCAGCATAACCCCCATTCCATCCCCCCGAACTTGGGAGCTGGAGTGTAACTTAGAGGGTGACTTTGGAGCGCAGGGGGAAAGCCGGTCTGCGACAACAAAGCTTTCCCAGATGGTATCTCCGTGTTCCTCCAGCGTCAAACAATAGGGCAATAAATAGAAAGGGTTACTCTCAGCCCGGCGTGTTGGACGAGGTTCCCAGCTGATGCAATTGGATACGGCTCCGCGGAGCGAGTAACCTTTTAGTACAGCTGATTGCAGCCGTGAGCGGAGGCTGCCGGTTCCTTCTGCCCTTAAACCCGCTCGTTTCTCTTTTTCTCTTTCCCCGAGGACGGGGAAGCCGCTTCCCCTGCCCTTTCCATCCCCGGGGGCTCCTTCCCTCGGCCGGTGGGTGTGTGGAGGGAGAGGCACCGTGATCTCCAGCGCCCGGCCGAGAGGCAAAGCAAGGTCAAAAATGTACCGGCGAGGCTCTTGCGTCAGAGGCAGCCAAGCATCCCCAGGGCTCTTCCCACTGTTTGCAGCGAGTCCTCGCTCCGCACGGGCAGCAATAGCCAAATAAGGTGCCGAAACGCGCGGCCGCTTCCATCGGGACAGGGATGATACCTACCAGACCTGCCTGCAGCGCTGCTTCCAGCCCGCCGGTCCTTCTGCCCCTGCTTGGTGGAAACCAGGATACTTTTCCCATGAAGTGACTTAATGGGCATCCTCGGGAAATCAGCGGTGAAGCTGAGAGGCTACTTCCCTGTCGTGGGTTTCTTCAATTAGTTTTGGTCCCCCCCCACCATTTTTTTTTTTTTTTTGACCTTTATTTTGGTTTCTAAACTCTTATGGGCAGTTGTTGAAAGCAGCTGCTGTTCCTGCTGGTGTTCCTGCTTGGCTGCTCCAGGGCTGTGGGCAAGCCGGTCGGACTGGCTCTTCCCAGGGTGACCAGCCATGGAACTCTGCCCTGTGCCTTCACTGGGTGGTTGGAGCTGGAAAAGCAGCAGGGCTGAGCTCCCAGCTCTCCAGAAGTAAAGAAATTCCCCAAAATCTCTGTGTAAACAAAAGCTCTGTTTCCTCAAATTGTCCAAGCTCAGCGTGCTCTGACCTGGTGTGGGCAGCCCCTCCTTGGCCCCTGTCACCCTTCCACTTCACCTGGGCCTTGAAATTCCCTGTCTGCAGTTCTTCCTTAACGATGATGTTTCAGAAGAAAAGCCCAAAAAGGAGGAATGCAGTTGCTTGTTATTCCCTCCAACACATTACGTGCCACCAACACCTCTGAATCCACTGCCACTGGTACCGCTCCTCCTCACAGGGGGTTTGCAAGATCCTCCCTTCACAAAATCATGGAATCACAGAATGGTTTAGGTTGGAAGGGACCTTGAAGACCATCTCATTCCAACCCCTCTGTCTCCTCATCCCCTTCCACCTCTAAGCGTCTGTTGGACGTAGCCAAGGTTCCCTTTTCACAAATGACCATTTCCCAGCAGAGACAAGGTCACACTTCTGGCAAAGGAAACATGCTGGGTAACTCTGCTTCCTTGTTTATTCCTGGCCACATTAGTTCTTCCCTGATTTTGTCATTTTGGAAACGTCCACGTGACGTGGCCCTTTTCTTTTTCTGAATGTATGTGCAGAGTGGTGACGCCATCACAGCTGCATGTTGTACATGTGCCATCACCTGGGCCATGCATGGAATTAACCCAGTATCCCTGTAATGAAAGGATGAATGAGATTTGTGATGAGGATCTTGAGGAGGCACTTGAGATGGGCAGGTTTAGTCTGTCTAGATTGTGATTGTGATTGTGACCAAGTTGCTCCAAGCCCTGTCCAACCTGGCCTGGAACATTTCCAGGGAGCCAGGGGCAGCCACAGCTGTTCTGGGCAACCTGTGCCAGGGCCTCACCACCCTCACAGGGAAGTGATATCTTCCAAATATCCCACCTAACCCTTCCCTTTTTCAGTGGGAAGCCATTCCCTCTTGTCCTGTCACTCTGCCCTTGTCCAAAGTCCCTCTCATCTGATGGCCAAGGACATGTGGGATGAGGCCAGAGACCAAGATTTGAGACTCACAACCGTCCAGCCTGGTCCTTCATACCCAAAGGTAACAAAATCACAGATTACAATCACAGAACGGTTTGGGTTGGAAGGGACCTTAAGGACTGTCTCATTCCAACCCCCTTCCATGGGCAGGGACACCTTCCACTATCCCAGGTTGCTCCAACCTGGCCTTGAACACTTCTAGGGATGGGACAGTCACAACTTTTCCTGGTAGCCTCCGGAATAAATCCTAGCCTGCAAGAGATATTTACACTCAGGTACCAGACACGAAGCCAGAGCGAGGAACCTCCTCCCTGGGTAAGTCAAGCCAAGGTTTCGTTGCCCTACAGCCACAAAATCTCGCCTCATTTCCATCCAGCAGGTTCCTGCCATCACCCGCGGTGCACCAGAGCCTGCCAGGCTTGTGCTGCAGGACAAACCCCGCTGCAGGGCTCTTCTCTGTCCCCTCTTCACCTTCTTTCCAGGAATTAGGCTCAATTAAGTTCTTGAAGCCTCAGGCTGGGAGTTTTTTTCCTCAGCAATCAGCTCTTCATGAGACACCGCTCCCGGCTCGGTCTGTGTCAGCCCTTAGTTTCCTGTTGACATTAATCCCTGCGCCGTCGTTTATCTTTTATCCTTTTTCTATGTCCTTCTGATGTTTCCAGCTGCCAGGAGTGACCTCCTTCTGATGTTCCCAGCTGCCAGAAGTGACCTCCACCGAGTGTGACTCTTGCCTTGGCCCACAAAGAAAGCAACGTGCCTCAAATCATTCTCTGGTCGGTTGTCCCCATGGTCAGAAGGGTCCTTGCACTTGGTGTCCTTCTGAAAGGGCTGGTGGGTCCTGGAGCATCCTAAAACATCTGTTTTAGCCAGAGGGAGTTGTTAGCTGGACACCTGAATCCATGTGATGGAGAATTTGGATAAATCCCAGGTAAATTCTCCTAAAAGCCGATTGATGCCCAGGGCTGCAAAATATCCTTCCAGCTCCCTGCTTGGTGCCTGAGTGTCTCCCAGCTGGCATTCCTAGGACCCCTTTCCATTACTGGTCTTCCTCTGTGGCACCTGTGCCCGAGAGATGGGTTTGGTACCACTCACCTTGGACTCAATGTCACCTCATGACTTCCAGCAGTAACTGTTTCTGGGATGCAGGAGCGTGTCTCACTCAGCTGCTGCCCTTCCCATCCATCTTTCAAACACCTCCAGAACCCCCAGGGATGTTGGACCATTGCCTCCATCCATCCCAAAGGTTCAAACATCTCCTACATCCCCTCTTCTCCCATATTATACAACATATTA